TGGCACAGCTTAGTGGATCCCTTGCTTAGAGTATTGCAAGGATGCAATCAGAGTGTCAGCCAGACTGCTTTCCTTCCTCGAGCTCAGGCTTTTCTTCCAAGCTCAAGTGTTTGTTGGAAAAATTCAGTTCCTCTGGTTGCAAGACTGAGGTCCCAATTTTTTTTTTTTAAATCCTCACCTTTTGGTGCACAGGACGATGCTTCAACCAACTAAGCCACCTGGCCAGGATGGTCCCTGTTTTCTTGATTGCTGCTGGTCAAGGATCATTATTAGCTCTCCAGGCCTCCCTTAGATCCTTGACTTATAGTCCCCTACAGTATTGCCAAGTTACTTCTTCAAGATCAATAGGAGAATCTCTCTGACCGGGGAGGGCCCCTGGCCTTCTTTTACAGGGCTCGCCTGATTAGTTTAGGACCAGCCAGGATAATCTTGCTTTTGAGGAAATTAAAGTCATATTAAGGGCCATAATTTACATCTACAGAATTCTATTTGTATATGACATAATTCAAATAATGTAATCATTGGAGCGATAGCCCATCATATCCATGGGTCCCACCCACATACGGGGGAGAAAATTGTACAAGAGCATAGATTATTGGGGATCATCTGAGAATTCTGTCAACCATCTTTGCCCTATTACAGAAGGAATCTTTTGCTTTGCCCATTACTGAAGAATGGATTCTCCAACATGTACTTGTTTCTTACAGTTGCTTAGAGAGTTCTTTCCTGTTCAGAGATTAATGCTTCTTCAATGTTATATTTAAATAAATAATAACTAATGTCTAGTTTTAAACTTTTATAGTGTTAAGTTCTATTTTATAACCTTTGGTTAGAATATTGAATACATGTAAATCAATACAAATCTCAGTACTTATTGAAGTCAACTTTTAAATTGGAATAGACTTAAAAGATTATGGAGGGATTGTACTGCCGACATATAGAGTAACACACATTTGCCTTCAATAAACTTGTAGTCCAGTAGTGATCTTAAATAAAGATCAAACAAATAACTTGTAACTTAAGACAAAGTAAGATTTCTGCCATGAGAAATGATAGGATTATCATCCTGTATAATAAGAGAGGAATATAGTAATTAGCCATTACACTCTGAGGCATAAAGACCAAGTGTGTCACGACCAGATCATGGATCCGTAGGAGGGTGGGCCACCGAGGTACAAGCGGGTTGTGGAGAGCTACAGGAGTGGGCAGGGCAGCAAGCTCTGAGGGCTGGAGGAGGGAGGGGGGCGGGGGGAACTACAGGAGGGCAGCAGCAACCAACTGGCTACAAGCGGGCAGCAGAGAGGTACATGAAGGGGCAGGGCAGCAAGCAAGCTGGAGGCAGAGAGCTTCAGGAGAGGGCAGGGCAACAAGGTATGAGGGGAAGGTGCGGGGCAGCAGGCAGAGAGCTACAGGAGCGCAGGGCAGTGGGCAGAGGCTACAGGAGGGCAGCAGCAACCTACTGGCCCACGGATTCGTGCTTAGGGCTACTAGTACATATATAAGAAAGCTTTTTGTTAATCCAGGTCCTTGGCCTTTAAAACATTCCTCATACTACATGGTTGCATTTACCACAAGATAATAATGCTAACAATAATGCTGTGTACTTAAAATTTACCCAGTGCTATCATTGATATTTAAGAAAACTCTGCCCTCAAAATTACCTTTGCTAGGTAAGCAGCAGCATCTCTGTTTTCCATGAGGACAGAAAGTGAAATGCCCGCTTGCCCACATCACTCAGCTGGTAAGCAGTAGACCCCAGAGTAGACCTCAGAGATGATGAGTCTTCCTTGTGTTTTCTTATCATTTATGGTTTTAATATAATATAACAAATATTTATTTTTAAATCTTTGATGGTAGATAGAAATGCAATAATATAGAAATAAGAAACATGCTCCTGATTTTAAAAATGACTACTAGTAATCTCAATTTATTGGTAGATTTTACTGCAAATCTCTTTCTAACAGGATTGCCACAGAAGTAGTCTCACATGCCAAACCAAGAGTATTGGTAAACAAAGAAGGTTTTATTTGTACTTCTTGTCTCATCTATAGTATTTCTCAAATAAGAAATAGACTGCTTAGACTAAGAGAAGTAACAGAGCCATAATTATCTGTCCAAAATTCTAAGGGATAATCAGAAGGTTCCAGATTGATGGCCTGTTTTCTCTATTTTGACAAGTGCTCTTATTTCAAGGCATAAATAACTAATATTAGAAATATATTTTAAATGGTGCAGATTTTAAATATTGTTTAAGCAAAACATGATTTACATTTTAATATATTCCAAGTTATTGGGTTTATTATCTCCAAATTTCAGTATTTCTTAATTTTTATATTGTTAAATTAAAATGAAAATCTACATATATGTGTCTTTTAGAGAAAACATTTATTGGCTTGGTTTCTCCTCAATGAAGGATATATTTACAGTGTCTGGATCTGCCACTGTGGAAGGAATAGACAGAAATCGAATGGCATACACATTTGACAAATGAAAGAAGCTGCTGGGACTGTTCATAGGAAGTAAAGAGCCTCATCAAAGTTTAGTTTTCTGAGTTGCCTGGGACCCACCTAGAATTGTAGCCATGAATTATGTCTCACCAAATTAAAATCTCAAAAGTCCAATTTAGATGCAGAGCATTTACTTCCAGGATTGCTAAGTGTTTCAATGCACGCTACTTAAGTAAAAGCTAATGATATGACATGGCTAATAAAAGTGTATTTTAATTTATATAGTGATAAACTAATGGATTATAAATACCCACTGAAATTAATTTTTGTCTTTTCAGCACCATCTGTGCTGCAAATAGGAAGACTTAAGTTTTTGAAACCATTCTTTTGGTTCTTACTATATAGAAAGCATTGTTTGTAGATACTATAGGGAATACACAGGTGAACAAAGTCACAGTCCTCTCGCATAGATTTATTGGAGCTCCAGATTGAGAAACAGGCACATTGCTATGGGAGCTAAGAAAATGGGGGAGCTGCTTTGTTGAGGAAAAAGAATAAAATATACAGGATTCTCATAAAGGAGGAAATAATAAGTTGCTCTTTAAGCATGAGAGTGAATTCAGCAGAAGGAAACTCCATGTGCAGAGTCCTTGATGGAGAAATGGCAGACATGTTTGGGGAATGGCAGGCAAGTTTGACTGCAGGTGCTGTCTGACTGAAACATGAACTGAAGGTAAATCTTAGAGAGCCTAATATAACCACAAACATCCCAGCTTTATTCTACATAGGTGCAGAACCTTGTAGGGTTTTTGAATAAAGGAATACAGGTCAGTGATGTTTTAGGAAATAAGTTGCAGGGAGGAGTGTTATTACAGTACTCCCAGTGGAGAGTCTTCATTAAAAAGTGGCAATAGGGGCAAGACCGGTTTGGCTCAGTGGATAGAGCATCGGCCTGCGGACTGAAAGGTCCCAGGTTCGATTCCGGTCAAGGGCATGTACCTGGGTTGCGGGCACATCCCCAGTGGGAGGTGTGCAGGAGGCAGCTGGTCGATGTTTCTCTCTCATCGATGTTTCTGACTCTCTATCTCTCTCCCTTCCTCTCTGTAAAAAATCAATAAAAATATATTTTAAGAAAATTTTAAAAAGTGGCAGCAGGGAATGAATATGAGAAACATCACATAACTTGTAGAACCTGACTATTGATTGGACATAAAAAATCAATAAATAGGGAGGGAGATAGATACAAGCTTGGATGGTAACCAGTAAGATTTTCAGTTTTAGGGAAATTATGAGTTTACTTTAAGATATTAATTATTAGGTACCTTTGTGAAAACTCATGAATGAATCTTTCCTGAGATTCCATAGAATCATACTTTTAGATCATAAGTTAAAATATAACCAAAGAAATTGTTTTTTTTAGCAAGTATACTTTTTTTCATGAAAACCTAGTATAATATCAAATATATCAAGCCCTAGTTTTAAATCAGTGATCTGATATACTCATATTTAACAGTATACACATGCATACATAGATAAATATGCAATTATAGATTTATTTGTATAGTTTCTAGAAGTTGTTTTTAAATATAGTGTTAATACTTGTTATTAAGTCTTATATTACTCTGCACGTTAGCTACATCTTTTGCTGTTTCTAATTAGAATTCTTAACAAAGACAGATTTCCCCCCCTCTGAGAGGTTTCAGTACCATTTTGTCTAATTGTTCCTTATGCTAAACTACCATATTACAAGCTTCTTTGGAATAATAAAATAGTAGTGCAGTTATCCTCTTCAGGAGCTCTGGGTTGCTATGCCTTTACAGCTTGGTGGCATTCTGCTGCCTACAGATTGGTGTGAGCAGGGATAACATTAAGACAGTTTCTTCTACACGGTTTCATAAAAACATTGCCAGTATGTCATTTAGTAAAATGTTTATGTAATTAAAAATTCAGATGTAAGGAGTTTAGTGCAGTCTACCTCAACATTACAAAAAGGACTTGTCAACTATCAATCAAGTTCATAAGAGTGAGCAAATTTGTTTATATGCTATTTATTTGATCTAAATCTCTAATAAGCCTCTTCTGCTAATTGGACTTAACATTTATGTTGCTAAATGAGAAGCATTTTGGCTGCTATATAGAATGGTAAGACCTACCCAATGGAATAAACAACTAACATCTGTTATCTCGTCCTGCTCCAGCTTGGCTTTTACCAGTTAAGTACATCAGCCCTGAAGTCAAGGTTATCACATATGTGAATCTCTGGCTCACCCATGTATATGTGAAGGCATAGAAATAGCACATCATGAGTGAGGACCAGCCAGCCAAAAGCTATTGAGTACAGCTGGTCCATTTTTGTTTTAACCTTTACAAGCCCTACAACCTTAAGAAAAAAAACTCATAGAGGTTATAATTTTATAATAGCTATTTTATAATTAATTTTATTTCTTTTCCTTAGCATTTTTCTGCTTGTAGGATTTTATGCTGGTAAGTGTTATATCAAATATAATTACTTTTATAATACATTTACTTTTATTTTCTTTTAAAAAAAAAAAGAAGCTAAATTTGGATTTGGCTGATCTTCGGAAAGAAAAAGAAGACTTATTAAAGAAATTGGAGTCCTCATCTGAAATCACAAGTTTGGGAGAAGTTTCCCAGGTAACAATTCCACGGATACAAGTTACATCACTTGGTCCTTCAAGAAGCATGGATTTGGAAATGAAGCAATTACAGTGCAAACTAAAGGTGACTATAATTTTTATTAAAGATGAAACACTCATTTACTGACTCTTAAAGACACTTTTATTCTAATTTAATTCTAGTAACAATGGTAAATTATGGTATAAATAATCAAAAAATTATTAAAACTGACCTCATCTTTCTAGTTTAACCAGGTAGATTCTTATCTAGTAATTCATAATACTATTCTCTGAAAAAAATGACAACACACCATGATATCATCCTAACTTGAGAGATGATGAAAACTGAACATTATCATTCTATTCCATTGCTCAACTCTCTGCCCTCCATTCCTCCCTCTACTGAACAGAATTCCTTTCAAATAGTAATTATCAACATAAGTAGAATGCTTCCCTTTACACACTCGCTATTATTTTAATTTGGTTGTTGTTGGTTGCAGATGAGGTAGCTGGAGGCAAGTGAGGGGAGGGAGAAGTACAGAGCAAAGGTGGGTGGGTTTAATAGATTTCAGTAAGTTAAACCTGAGAGTAAGAATAAAAAGCAGTGTTTCTTTTGTTTATAAAAAATAGTAGTTAAGTCCAGGTGAAACTGTCAACAACTTAAAAATAAGGCTAACCTTAATTTAAATAGAATTATCTTGCTGTTTAAAAAAACTCATTTATTCCTCACATATTTTCTTCAGTGGGGATTTCTAGCTGGAAGCTAAAGGGACAATGTATATGGTACCATTACTATAATGAGAAACAATGGAAATAAAATTCTGGTTTGAAATGCAGAGTCTGTTAGGAGTAGAATAATTGTGACTGTTAAGAGAGTATTAAAATACTGAATTGTCAAATATCTCAGTTGTTTTCAATTAAAATATGTGTGCACTTGCCAATAATATCTTCAAATGAGCAATTACTAATAAGATAAAATATGATTGAGTTTAAAGTAAATGAATGTATCATTGCTTGAAAATATTTTGCTTTTTAAATAATCAGATATACACACTGGAATTAATTTAGATGCTTTTAAATACCATATTCTTTAGCCAGTGTTTCTGTACAGAACTTGCCTCAACCACTACATTTTATAAGTTTAAATACCTGACATAATAGAAATGTGAGGAAAATAGTTTTAGGCTTTGGTGCATGTATCTTTTCTTAAAATGTGTTTCTGTGTCTGAAAAAGTGGAATAAAATATATAAATAGAGCATTCCAGTGTTTAGGTTTCTATATAGAGGATAAAATCATTGAGATATTTATTTATTTTATTTTATTTTATTTTGGTCAGTCCTTATTTGAGGATATTTTTCCATTGATTTTTAGGGAGAGTAGAAGAGAGAGGGAAAGACAGAGAAACATCGATGTGAGAGAAGCACATCGATTGGTTGCTTCCTGCACAAGCCCCAACAGGGTCCAGGCTGGGGAGGAGCCTGCAACCCTGGTACGTGCTCTTGACCGGAATCAAACCCGGGACCATTTGGTCTGCAGGCCGATGCTCTATACACTGAGCCAAACCAGCTAGGGTAAAAATTTTTTTTATCTTATCTATTACAGATCTTTAATTCATAGTTTTGTGATTCTTTTTATATGTAAGTCTGCGTTTTCCTTACATAACTTCAGTTTTCACCAAAATAAAATAGAATGTTAAATCTAGTAATGTCTAATCTGATTTCTAAAAAATTTTAAATTGTTAATAGGTTTCAGTTTATTTATATTTTATTTATTTAATTTTACTTCCTACTAATGGTCTAACCCAGTGGTCGTCAAACTGCGGCTCAGCAAACTGCGAATCGTGAGCCACATGCGGCTCTTTGGCCCCTTGAGTGTGGTTTTTCCACTAAATACTGACTTCTGCGCATGGGCCACAAAGTTTCAATTGCACTGTACGTGCACGCCCACACCTGGTATTTTGTGGAAGAGCCACACTCAAGGGGCCAAAGAGCCGCATGTGGCTCGCGAGCCGCAGTTTGCCAACCACTGGTATAACGTAATCTATAATAATAAAAGCATAATATGCAAATCGACCAAATGGCTGAACAGCAGGACGACCATGCTATGACGCCCACTGGCGCCAGGCCAACCAAGGCGGGTGCGATGCAATTGGTCGGGGGCCCGGCCATCGCCCCATGATAGCCCTGTAGAGGGAAGCCTAGGCCACCGGCCAGAGGGGCGATCGATCAATCGGGGGACTCCACGATCGCCCCATAGAGAGAAGTCCAGGCCACTGGCTGGTGGGGCAGTCAATTGGGGGGCTCCACAATTGCCTCAAAGAGGGAAGTTCAGGCTACCGGCAGGTGGGCGGGGCCTCCTTCTGCCTAGGCGATCCATCATGGAGCTCCGGCTGAGTGGGCAGGGCCTACCTCTTTGGGGTGATCTATCATGGGGCTTCCAGACTGTGAGAGGGTGCAGGCCAGCCTGAGGGACCCCCCCCCACCCCTAGTGCATGAATTTCATGCACCAGGCCTCTAGTTTTGGTAATAATAGGCCCATATGAAAATCTGTGTTATTTGCATTATAGTCTCTCATGATGTAAGTTTTTACCCACCTATAAATTTATCTCTCACTTTGGAGCAGTAGTTCTCAACCTGTGGGTCACGAACAATGAAAATACATCCTGCATATCAGATATTTACATTATGATTCATAACAGTAGCAAAATTACAGTTATGAAGTAGCAACGAAAATAATTTTATGGTTGGGGGTCACCACAACATGAGGAACTGTATTAAAGGGTCACGGCATTAGGAAGGTTGAGAACCACTGCTTTGGAGGAATGTGTGAGTCACAAGGGTGACACTGATGAGAATGCCTAAAGCAGTAGATCATGCTTGATGTAAGTTTGAATTGACATTGTCCATAACTACCCTGGAGTCCCAGAACACTAATCAGGCTGCATAGGGACAAAAAGGATAAATCTTTACTTTTGTCTTGTTTCATGTTTCAATCTGGAAATATTCTACAAGACCAGTTTCCTCTAAGTACATAATACTTTCTGATACTACAAATTTTTGTTTCAATATTGTATTAGTTTGCTATGGCTGCTATAACAAAATACCACAGACTAGGTGGCTTAAATAATAGAAATTTATTTTCTCATAGTCTAGAAGTTCAAGATCAAGGTATAAACAGGTTTGGTTTCTTCTGAGGCCTTTATTCTTTGTTTGTATGGCCATTTTTTTGCTGCGTTCTCATGTGGTTGTATCTCAGTGTGTGTGGTCTGTGTCCTCTTATAAGGACACCAGTCATATTGGTATAAGGCCCACCCATATGACCTCATTTTACCTTAATTACCTCTTTAAAGACCCTATCCAAGTACATTAACATTCTCAGGTACTAGGGGTTAGGACTTCAACATATGAACTTTGTTCAGCCCATAATAGGTATCAAATTGCTAACAAAATTTTCCAAGAAATAACTTATTTTCTAGCTGATGTTTTTATGCTTAATTAAGAAAAACTGGCTAGATTTGAATCTCTTAAAGGTCTATATACATCTTTTTTATTTTATCCAATTCATTTTAGGCTTTTCTATGCAAATTCTTAGGTGTACTTCTTAGATATATGTGGTTCATTTAGTAATTGGAATGCTCATGTGCATTTTAGTTTACCCATATTAGACATGTTTCTCCAAGGTACCCAACTTCATATCGAGGTAATAAAATATTTAGAGACCTATAAATTCCTTCTGATTATAGTAGTTATATTTAGTTTATTTTGAAGTTCTTTATGCAGTCTGGTTTGAATGGTACTCCAATTTATATCTGTGATTCTTTGACTTCCTAATTGTTGAAAACATTCCTTTTTGTACATGCTAAGCCATCTTCTAGTTTCCCAGTAAGTTAATAATGAAGAATAGTTTTTTTCAACTATTACTCATTATATATAATTTATTTCCAGGCTAGGTCTAAGTCCTTTACAAATATCAACTCATTTAGTTCTCATTTCAACCCTATATGAAAAGTTTTATTAATATTTCTATTTTACAATTGAAAAAAACAACTGAGACAGAGAGAATAAGTCACTTGTCCAAGGCATACAGCTACTAAGTGATAAGGCTGAGATTCAAACTCAAGCTGTCTAGCTCCAGAGTCCATGCTCTTTCTTACTCATTCACTATGAAAATATAAAAATATATATTTAACAAACTTAGATAGGAAAGCTCTAACCAGGATGGGTTCTCACCTCTGAGACATTTTTGAAGTATATTCTGGTATTTCACTCCAGATTTTAAGTCATGCTGCAGATAAGTGTAAAATAGTAGGAACTGGAAAAGGGTCAGAGGACCTGGGTTTTGATCACTCTTTGTCCATTAACTTCTTGTAGGACCTGACTGAGGAAATTATTTAACTTCTCCAGAGGTTTAAAGCAGGGATACCTTTCTATCTGCTTAGTAAGGACTTTTGAGGATCAAATAGAGTACCTGTGAGATTTAAAGATCTTGGCAAAAGTACATATCAAGCTGGCATTCTTTCATTTGTTATAATTCAGAAATCCCTCAATTTTCCAGAAGTCAAAGGTACAGCAAGTGAGCCACCTAAAATAGCAGCCTTAAGTTTAAAAACAGAATAGAGTAAAAAAGCTATCTTAAAATCCACTTAATTTATTCCACTGAAGATATTGTCAGGCTTCATTTACTGCCTCTTGCCTTTTATTTTACATGCAGCTCTAATAAGTTTATTTGTCTAACTTCTCAACACAGAAACACCTCAGAAGAAGCAATCTAGAGGTATGCATATTAAAGGGCTGGATAATTATTTTTAGTCAGGAATATTGACAGAAGCAAGAGATTATGACAGAGAGAAAAAGGAAATATAAATAAATTAAGGGAAAAATACAAAATTTAAAAAAGCAGCAGCCTGGTACCATTTAGAGTAGGGATAAGTAGTCCTTTATGTCATCGTAATAGTTTTTAAAGGCAACACTACATAATGATTTAGTGATAATATAATAGATATAGTAATATGACATAATTCATATAATGATATTTATAATATAATATTACTATAATAAAGTATTACTTTTAGTTTAATGTAATAATAGATATACATATTTCTAAATGAATAAGCAGTCATTCCAAAGAGAATTTAAGATTAATAATTAAAGCAAAAGCTTCAATTATCTGGTAAATTCACTAGTGTGGAACATCTATCAGTGCTAGAAATAAAACACTATTCATCACTGTAAACATGTGAAATATGGACATTTATATTGCATTACACAAATATTTAATTAAAACTTCTAATATTCAGCACAATTGCCATGTTGAGGTAGCCTTGGGTTTTTAAGAAAATTAATATATTTAATATAATAATTAAAACAATAGCAATTTATTATTTCTTGTGATCCAGGGGGTTGGCTGGAAAATTATTTCAAGTTTTTTATTTACATATAGTATACCAGTAAGATAGTTAAAGTCTGTCTAATGAATTTGACTCATATTTACATTATGTTTTTAATGGTTTCATCTTGTCAGACTTACATGTTTTTTAGCATGAGTCAGTCAAATCTGGTAATAATTCTAATAGAAAAAATTGATTATAGTTACTAAAAAGATTAATGAAATTACTACTCCAAATATTTTTAAAGCTCTCATATTTATATTATTTTAATACTTTTGAATTTAGGAAATGACTTAATGTATGTCAACACTGTCTTGTAAGTGGAAAAAAAATATCAAGTGATGTCTCAGATTACATGCTTACTTGGAATTTGACTCAAAATATAAAGTTAGGGGTCTTAACACTCTAGTTGCTACCTCTGGCTCCTAGGCTATGCAGACAACAAATACACCAAAGCTGTTCTACATTGAAAAACTAATAATTATGTATAAACTAGAGGCCTGGTGCATGAAATTTGTGCAGCGGGGGGAGGGGGGATGTCCCTCAGCCCGGCCTGCACCCTCTCCAATCTGAGACCTATTGGGGGATGTCCAACTGCCGGTTTAGGCCTGATCCCGATCCCTGTGTGCACAGCCATCCTGTGGCAGCCATCTTGTGGTGGCTATCTTGTGAAGATGTTGCGCATGGCGTGAGGACCACCTAGGCTTTTATTAGTATAGATACATTAATAATAAGTCATATTATTAATATGTTCAGGTAAAGAAGTATTTAGTATTCATAAGATTCTTTATCAATTATCTATTACTATCTAAAAAATAATACTAACATGTCAAAGCTTAAAACAACAGCAATTTATTATTTCTTATAATATTCTGGGTTCCCTAATATGCCCGCATTCTTTCTAAATAAGGATTTACCAGGCTTGGGAGTTCCTCACTTATGAGCCTGACAATTGGTCAGTTAATTATAAGCTGGGATAACTCAGTACTCCTCCAAATGGCCTTTCCTATATGATTTCACTCATCCTATCTAATAAAGAGGTAATATGCAAATTGACCATCACTCCAAAACACAATATGGCTGCCCCCGTGTGGTCAAAGATGGCCATCACAAGATGGCCAGCAGGGGAGGGCAGTTGGGGGCGACCAGGCTGGCAGGGGAGGGCAGTTAGGGGTGACCAGGCCAGCAGGGGAGGGCAGTTGGGGGCAACCAGGGCTGCAGGGGAGGGTAGTTGGGGGGCAGCCAGGCCAACAGGGGAGGGTAGTTGGGGGTGACCGGGGCTGCAGGGGAGGATAGTTAGGGGCAACCAGGCCAAAAGGGGAAGGCAGTTAGGGGTGACCAGGCTGGTAAGGGAGTGGTTAGGGAGTGATCAGGCTGGCAGGCAGGCAAACAGTTGGGAGCCAGCAGTCCTGGATTCTGAGAGGGATCCCAGATTAGAGAGGGTGCAGGCTGGGCTGAGGGACACACACCCCACCCGACCCCCCCATGTACGAATTCATGCACCGGGCCTCTAGTGTGGGATATAAAACTGAAACTTGTGAACATAAAACAGCAGTGTAGTGGTTGCCAGAGAGAAGAGGGTAGGGGAAGAAATGGGTTCTAATATATGGTGACAGAAGACTTAACTTTGGGTGGTGGGCACATGGTACAATATACAGATCTTGTAACATAGAAACCCACACCTGGAACTTATATGTTCATGTTGACCAATGTCACCTCAATAAATTTAATTAAAAAATAATAAAAATAATAAAATTTAATCAATTTTTATAAATGGCCTTTCCTCCGTATTTTTTGGAAGGTGATTCCAGGGCAGCATTCCAAGAGGGCACAGGTACATGCTACAAGGATTTAGGCCCAGGACTGATATTTCTACAGTTTCATTTCTGCCACATTCTTTTGGTCAAAGCAAATCACAGGCCAGCCCAGATTCAAAGGGTTGAGAGATAGATTCCACCTCTCAGTGGGAAGAGCAGCAAAGCATCTGTGACCATATTGAGGCTGTTACAAGTTACTAGTAAAATCCAGCATTAGTTTTAAGTTATCTCATTAAACCATTAGAGTACTTAATCACACATTTACATTTTACAAAGACAATCCATATCTCCCATAAATGTATTTTGGGAATGTACTCTTTGCAGTTGTTTCATGATGTGTACCTCTATGGTTTGGGCATGTCGTCTAAAAACTTTAGTATACTATAGTATTTTTATTATAAAATTAAGCATTTTAAATATTTAAATGTTCATTTTAATTTATAACTATAATTGAAAATTGCTCTTCATGAGAATGGCATTTATTTTTATGCTGCTTTAGAACAAGATTGAAAGGTGTATTTAAATTTGTTTGTATTTTAAATCTAGAATGCAACTAATGAACTCACTAAGCAATCATCAAGCATGAAGTCTCTGAAATTTGAACTCCTAGCAAAAGAAGAACACATAAAGGAAATGCATGAAAAGTATGTTTTTCATATTTGTATCTATTGTATTTGGTGCCACCTAGTGGCAGTTAACTCTATTAAATGCAATCCAAGAAACAATAGTGACATGTCAAAAATTGTTTTCCTTTTTTAGTTCATGTTTAAGCCTACTTAAAATGAAAATGTAAGGAATATTACATATAGTGTGGTTGATGGCAATATGGTTACTATTTTTTAATTAGAGTAAGAATATCTAAAGTTAGGTTTTCCTTCTTAGAGTAAACATTTAGTTTGGAATAAATATCAATTAAAGGCCTAAAGACTGTGAACAAAAAACTTTAGAATGTGCTGATTATTCAACCAAAGATATAGGTGTAGATTGATCCTCATATTGGATATAATGCCTAAACTTACAAAACTAAGTTGGGAAAAAAGGTAAAGCTTTGTTTGTGTTTAAAATTACTGGAGGATTATGAAAGTTTGTATTTTCCGTGTTTATTAACAAAGGTTTAAAATGTTCTATCTCATGCCCTAGCCGGTTTGGCTCAGTGGATGGAGTGTCGGCCTGTGGACCAAAGGGTCCCGGGTTTGATTCTGGTCAGGGGCACATACCTTGGTTGCAGGCTCCTCCCCGGCCCGGGCCCTGGTCAGGGCTCGTGCAGGAGGCAACCAGTTGATGTGTCTCTCTCACATCAAGGTTTCTCTCTGTCTGTCCCTCTCTCTTCCACTCTCTCTAAAAATCAATGGAAAAATGCCCTAGCCGGTTTGGCTCAGTGGATAGAGTGTCGGCCTGCAAACTGAAGAGTTCCAGGTTCGATTCCGATCAAGGGCATGTACCTTAGTTGCTGGCACATCCCCCGTAGTGGGGGTGTGCAGGAGGCAGCTGATTGATGTTTCTCTCTTATCAATGTTTCTGGCTCTCTGTCCCTCTCCCTTCCTCTCTGTAAAAAATCAATAAAATATTTAAAAATAAAATAAAATGTTCTATCTCAAAATGATTTTATTTCTATATCTTTTATAGATATACTAGAGCTTAGAAGTGATAACCTCTTTAGGTAGGATTCCAATCTGTCATTAATAATTTAATACATATATTTTACATGCATACATGTATAATCTACATAATATGTGAGGATCGCTTAAAAGTGATATCAGTAGATAAAACTATTAGACACAAAAGGTTGGTTAATTTTTAAACAGACTATCTTGAAATTTATCTATTAAGAAACAGTTTTGCTTATTTAACAGTTATAAAATTTAATATTTTTTTATTATAGTATAGAATTACTTCTTATCAGTGTTATGCTTTTGGATGATCTCTGAATATCGCTTTGACTTTTTTTACCAATGAAACAGTGTAATTTAAATATAACAATTTTGACTTTTCATAAATTTTATTTATCTTTCTCAGTCACTTTTTTAATGTATGTGCAATATTATCTTTAACAAGTGACAACTGGATTATAGATTTTACAAATACTCATTAATAGAGCAATATTTATTACTTTCAATTATTTTATTAATTTGCAATTTCATTGATATCAAACAGTATTTAACAATTAACAGTAGATGTAACATTGGATAAGGTATTATCACTGTTAAAGTATTTTTTATCACTTTTGATAAAATGCCCTTTTTTTCCTTTTAAGGTTGTCTCGAATGGAAAGGGATATAACCATGAAAAGACATTTGATAGAGGACTTGAAATTTCGACAGAAAGTAAATTTGGAAAGTAATGAGAGCATTAATGAAATGTTAGAAAATCTTGAAAAAAAGGTATGAACTTCTATATGTTCCCTGAAACTAAAAAAATCATTACCCATTGTATTTACCTGCTTAACTCAAATATTCACTCTTAATAAAATTTATAGGAAATATCCATAGAATATATGGGTACTATTACATAATTTCATTATTTGTTCTGTAAGTACACTATTTGTTTTAAAATTCATAACTCTAAAATCTCATATATAATATAACACGATATTTTTATATGAGAACATAATCAAGTTTAATTTATAAAGGTTTGAATATTTCTAGGATACATAATTACATTTTTTTCAGCATTTTGTTTTATTTAAACTATAATTTTTAATTATAAAACCAAGCATATATTTTTAAATGAAAAAAAGTGGTAACCAAAATCTATCAAAGTTTTTTTAAAGTATATTACCACAATTTTTAAAAATATACTTTTCTGCCCGGCTGGCCTGGCTCAGTGGTTGAGCTTTGACCTGTGAACCAGGAGATAATGGTTCAATTCCCAGTCAGGGCACATGCCTAGGTTGCAGGCTTGATCCCCAGTGTGGGGTGTGCAGGAGGCAGCTGGTCAGTAATTCTCTCTCACTGATGTTTCTCTCTCTCTCTCCCTCACCCTTCCTCTGTGAAATCAATAAATATATATTAACACACAGACGCACATGCACATGCACGCTGAGTGTTCAGATTATTATGACCACCTGATGTTTGTAGGCAAATTAGCTATAATTTCATGCTGAAGTTGCTAGAGGGCCAGACCATTATAAATAGGGAAGAAGGTTGTTTA